TCAATCTCGCTCATTCTTTTGTCCAAGGGCTTATATGTGGATGGGCAGCATTAAGGCCCCTGCCGGGGGTGCTGTTCCTCACTGTTGTGGGACTCCGTTCATTAAGTTATGAGGCCCTGTTCATTAAGTTGGGCTCTTAAGTTCAGTTGTGGTTGTTCAGAGGTGGTATTCAGCAGGTTCTGACCAGTTCTGAAGAACCAGTAGCCGAAATTTTGAGTAGTTCAGAAAACTGGCAAATACCACCTCTGACAGGCCCCGCCCCCATCTATTCTCTGCCTCCCGAGTCCCAGCTGATTGGCTGGGTCTTCTTTTGTTGCCCTCCACAGGAGAACGGAGCTGGAAAGTAGGTTAGTAGGGTGGGGAGGGAATGGGATTTTGCAGTAACCTTCTCCTGGAGTGGGATGGGAATGGAGATTTTATGGCCACCAAGCCACATCATGCCAACTAAGCTACGCCCACAGAACCAGTAGTAAAAAAAATTGAATCCCACCACTGAGGTTGCTGCTACTGTGCCCCTGCTACATAGTGCTCTTTCCACTTATGTTTAATATCTATGTGAAGCTACAGGGTGAGATTATTGATCATCATTGGGTAAGGTATCATCAATATGTTGACAATACCCAGCCATACACTTCTGTCTCTGTTAAGCTAAATGATGCTGTCAATGTCCTTTCTTGGTGCCTGCAGAACAACAAGCTTCAGCTGAATTCTGGCAAAATTGAGTGGGTTTGGGTTTGGAGACCTTTCATATCTGAGGATTTACCATATTTGGCTTTAGGTGGATTGCAATTGTTCCAGACAGACTCAATGTGCAATCTGGGAATTGTTCTGAATTCATGACTCTTGTATGAAATGCAAGGGGCAGTCATGGCCGGGAGGACGTTCACACAGCTTCATGCTGTGTGCCAGTTGCAATCCTTCTTGTCAAGTCACCTATGCCCAAATCATATCTCACATGGAGTACTGTAATACATTCTACATGGGGCTGCTGTTGAAGAGTATCCAGAAGTTTCAGTTGGTGCAAAATACAGCAATGCAGGTAGTTATGTGTGTTACACTTCTGCTCCATGAGTCACGTTGGTTACCAGTTTGCTTCTGGGTCCAATTCAAGATGCTGTAATCTTTAAAGCCTTACATGAGGTTATCTGAGAGGTCACCTCACTCAGTTATATATATCTGTACCATCAGAATGGGCATGTTGTGGGTCATCAGCCAAGTAGTATCATTTAGTGGGGCCAGGAGCCCAGTATTTTCTGCTGCAGTAGCCAAGCCTCTCAAAGATACCCCCCCCCACACCAAGTTGAAGTTGGCTCCAACCTTGTTGGCTTTCTGGAAGGCCCTCAAAACTTGATTTTGTCATCAGGGCTGAGGATTCCATGGAAGCATATGGCCCATTAAATAGTATAAGTGTCAAGACTGTGACACTTACACTGTTAGAGTCGGCTGGCTGTCAAGACTCCAATATGCACCCCCATTCAAAACATAAGTCTATAGCCGCATCTAAAAAAGATTGATTTATTAAGGAGTTGACATGTTGATGTTTCCCAATTGCAGCCGTCTCTGACACGTCATTCATTTCACCCTTGACCCTGGTCTTCCCCCCACCCCCTGGATGTATATTCTCCAATGAGACACATCCATGACACAATCATGCTTTTCAGTAATAATTTTGCATGCCAGAAGCTTCGGTTTCCAAAGCAATGGTCTCAAGTATTTAAGGAATGCACTGCTTTCCCCCTTCCCTTTCTGCTGACAACTAAAAAGACCAAAGAAGTATTTTTAGTTGATAGTACGTTTGACTGAATTTTTGTGTCTTTGATTAATATAATTTTTAATTGTTTAAATGGATAAACAATACTGATTGTTTAGTTCTGTTTTAATTGTGTATGCTTCCCAAAGTCACATGCATGTCAGATGGGCTGCTATATAAATTAAATAAATAAACCTTCTGTCCAAGCCAGTCTTAAGAAATTTAAGGGGGAAAAAAACCAGATAAAGCTATAAGAATGAATGCAGAATTCAAAAGATACAGTTAACATCAATCAAGTGGATTATATTTAACGATCAGTGGTATGTGCCAAGACCTTTTGAGCTATTCTGTACAATTTAGAGGAAAACCTTTTAACTATATTTTTTCATATTTTTATCTGGGTTTTCTATAACCAGGAAGGAACAAGCAATTGTTATAGTGGCATTTTTGTTTTTAATGCATTTAAAGATTAAATTAAGTAGTGGTGGGATTCAAAAATTTTTTACTACTGGTTCTGTGGACATGGCTTGGTGGGTGTGGCAGGGGAAGGATACTGTAAAATCTCCATTTCCTCCCTACTCCTGGGGGAAGGTTACTGCAAAATCCCATTCCCTCCCCACCCCACTAACCCGCTTTCCAGCTCTGTTCTCCTGTGCAGGGCAACAAAAGAAGATCCAGCTGGGACTTGGGAGGCAGAGAATAGATAGGGGCAGGGCCAGTCAGAGCTGGTATTTGCTGGTTCTCCGAACTACTCATAACTTTTGCTACTGAACCTGCTGAAATTAAGATATAGCAATAGTACTTAGACTTATGTACCACTCCTTAGTGCTTTACAGCACTCTCTGAGCAGTTTACAATGCCAGTGCATTTCCTCCAACAATCTGGGTCTCATTTTACAGCCTTGGAAGGATGGAGGGCTGAGTCAACCTTAAGGTAGTCAGGATCGAACTCCTGGCAGCAAGCAAAGTTAGCCTGCAGTACTGTACTTTAACCACTTCACTATCACAGCTCCTTATGTAGCAAGAAAGTTTGCAAATATTGTATTTATATATTATAATAAAAATTGAATTTAAATATATTAGGGATTCATAACTGATAACTCAAGCTCCAAGTTGGTTTTGCATGAAAATAAATGTTTCCTTTCTTCAATAATGAAAATTAAATCCAAATATGCATATCTAAATCTATGCATTTTATTGCGTACATATCAATATGCTAGCTGATTTGTTCGTAAAGTGCACCCATAAACTCAGCAGCAAAAGAATAGCTGAACTATTTTATCATAATTAAAGCTCTGTATTTTCAGAGTGACCTAAAATAATAATCTTAGAAAGAACTCAATGAGTATGAAGGCTAACAACATTTAAAGAATTGGCAGCTGTGATTTCACATTATTGCATAAATAATAATAATAATAATAATAATAATAATAATAATAATAATAATAATATCTCAGGTTCTTGGGAAGGATTCAATAGGTAGACAAAAATGCTGAATCCCATCTGAACATCTGGTAGGTTGTGCTATGAAACAATAATTTCATATAAACTGATCAATTTTTATATATTCCTAGTATCATGATGCCATGTATTACACTATAATATCTGCATATGACATTTAAATAATGCTACAAAAATCATTTTTCAATACATCAACTTCTGGAATTACAATGCACTTTCAGTCATATCCTGTTTGCACAATGACCTTCTCCCAATATACTGTAAATGAGTGTGGGGGTGTGGGGTGGGTGGGAATAAGGTTGATATACACACTAGCCAAATTCCAGGAGAGCTCAGATAGAATGGACACCCAGAGTTTTCCACTTACAACAGTTTTAGAGGAGTATCTGGGCATGTTACAGATGAATGCATAACAATTTCCCTCCTCAACTTACATTGACTGGAAAAGCCTCTGGAGATGTGGGATTACACAGGTATTTTAAATATTTATGTTTCTTTATCAGATTTTATTGTTGCCATGATCATACAGGCCCTCGGTGGTTTACAGAAGTTAAGAGCAACACCAACCAGACCCTCAATGGTAAAAACTAAACCTGAATAGATAAAAACATAGACCCATAAAGTCAAATCATCTTCAACATCCTATAGGACTATTCTCTATAGGACCATCAGGATAACTGTTATTAAAAATAAAGTTATGAGTTACTGTTGCAAAATCCTCCTATTCCAATGAAAACTTACATATTGTACATTTATTCATAAATAAGCCTACTGAGATTGGTGGAATTTAATTTCAAGTAGGTATGAACAAAATGGGAATTCAATTCCCAAATATGCAAAATGTCTTTTGATTTTGAAAAATGAGTGCAATGCATTTTCATTCTTATACTGTAGTTTTACTTTCTACTTTGGGAACTTAGATCTAATTCCACCCAGCTTTTTGTTGATATCTTATTCAGAGGGGAGCTAATAGGGTGCAGCAATTAGCACAAGGGTGGGTAGATACGAGCAGAAGAAAAGGTCAAAAACATGAAGATAACAGCTGCACCTGCCTAACAGAAGCTCTGCCCCTTTTTCTATGGGTCACATTTGTGAAAAGGGAATGGGGCTTTGATTGTGTAGTTATGGCTGCCATATTGCCTTTTCTTTGCTTCTCTTGCAAAAGACCCTAGGGATGGAGATGATGTGGTTCATAAGAGGTTTCAACTGTGTCTTCCCAGTATCCGGAGTAGCATCTCAGCATAGCCAAATTTCAGTGAAGATTTTGATGAAAGTTCATGCAATTAAAAGAATTAACATATCTGGACTACCAGTCCACAAACTGAATTACTTGTCATAAAAGATATTTTTGTTATTATGGTCATAATAGTTTATACTTATCTTTTACAAACATTAATTTCTTTGAAGAATTGTTCATGCATGTAGGAGCCCTGACTAATTCTCATTAATTTTTACTATGAAAATTTGCAAAATACCTTATTATAGTGTATTAAGAAAAGGTGGATAATAACTTTATGCCATAGATACAAGGATATAATAATTTTATAATAATGAATACTATTAAGAACAAAAAAGTACCAAGTTAAAAGTTCAAGTTTGACACAATGTAAATCTAAAGTAAGCACAATGTAAATCTAAAGTAAGAATCACTTTTTATTTTAAAAATACTAAATTCAGAACATTTTTTAAAACTAACATTTGTATACTCACCAGTTTAAAATCTAAAAAATACACTCACGTAGTCATCAGATTTCACTGAAGGGAGTAACAGAATATATAGTATTTCTTACCTGCCTTTTTAACCAGAGAAAGTGTCGTTCTCTCAGGAGTTTTCCTTTTTTCTTCTTTTTTTCCTAAAAATTAATTTAAAAAAGATGTTTCTTATGCTGGAAAAGTAAATCACATACTTTAGCAAGCTTATGAAAAACGTATGCTATTATTTTGAATGATTGAATATTGAATTCAGTCTAAATTTGAACATACTTGGAGAAGATACATCTATCTATATCATATATGTTTATATCGATATTATCATTATTTACATGTGTGTGTGTGTGTGTGTGTGTGTGTGTGTGTGTGTGTAGTATACCAAATACATAGATTTATGTAGCACTGCATCCGTCAATTATGTATTTATAAACTTAATGGCATTGATATCATGTGCCAATGACAAATTTATATTTATACTTCCCTACATTTAGTTATTCTTATATTAGAACAGTGAAATGGTTTTAATTCTAGTTTTGACAGTAAATTTTGCTGGTCAATGACAAAAGTAAAGAATGTTATGCACCTGGGAGATGCTCACTGACATCAGTAGGATTCAATCATCTGTACAGATTACAACACTTCTAATGGGGGATGTAATGTACAATGAGATTTATATATCATCCCTTATAGTTAAACTATCATGTTAATGATAATTTTTTTAAAAACTCACAGTCCAAAAGCATACCTTTTGCTTGAATATCAGAAACATCTTTCTTCTCATGGATTATCTTTCTTTCTTCTCCTACTTCTAAAATATGAAAAAACATGGCTTTGGATCATACAATCAGAAATAGCTAATAAACTGAAAAAAAAAGCTCAACTCATTCTGTCCATTCAACATTAAAACAAACAGCTCTAATTTAGAATTCTGTGTCAGCAGACATTTAGCTTACATCTCATGATGAATGTATGTATTCTTTGTTTAAATTGTTGTCCCTACAGAATAGTTTCCTGACGTCTACATGGGAAGTTCACAGCAGATATTTTTTTCTTTGCACCCTAGGAGAGAAATATCTGCTGCTGCTACCTAGGACTGAACTCTCAACCTTCTGATTGGGAAGTGAGCATCTTCACCACTAGGCCACCACACCTCTCTGGACTCTTTCAGGGGCATAGGGTCCCAGAGTGATGATGCGTTTGGCCCCACCTTCGGGCTTAGCCTCTTTCCAAATGCTACAGAGATGTCCATGGAATTCGGTCAAAAAAGATCATCTGTGATTGTGCAATTGAAGCTTTATTCTTCCTTTTACAAGCATCACATATATTCACATACATTCTACTCTCCATCTTACTAAAGTGGTGGTTCTATGATTACTTCATTTTTTAATTCAAATTTATAATGCTTCAGAAATAACCATATACCTATTTAATACAGCAACAATCTAGTAATGCAATACTTATGCAAATAACTTACCTTTCTTTTTAATTTCAGGAACACCTTTCTTCTCAGCAGTTACTCTTTTCTTCTCTTCTTCTAAGATATAAATCAAAGGGTAAATTAATTGGTTTCATTTTGTTTAAATACAATAGGCAGTTTAGAGCCCTTTAAAGATGAAGCAAATTAATTGCTTTATTTTAAAATAATAAATACCCTACCTTTTCTTATAACTTGTGGAATAGCTTTCTTTTCTTGAACCACCTTTTTTCCTTTTTCCACTTCTAAAGAATAAATTTAAAAAGAAATTATTTCAGAGTGCATTTTTATTCAAGAATTAGTAGTCAAAATGACAGAACCCTTTCTACTTCTGCGCTTGGAGAAATAAAATATCTCTGAATCTAAAAATAAAATAAACAGCACAAAATGTTGTCTAGTCAAGAGCCTATTCATTTTAATGGAGGCAAAAGACTTCACACAGAAGTGGTGAAGGAAAAACAACTTCAGAAGGTTTTTTTTTTTTAAAAAAGTAGACCAATGCCATACAGCAATGCAGTTGACTGGTATTTGAATGGAGGGACAACAAACTTTCTGGACCACCCAGGATAATTTTGATACACTTCGACTTCATTTTTATTTCATTGGGGACAGAAAGTACTTTGATCATCTGTAGTTATAACTGGGCACAAATAATGTGTTTATTTTGTTATTTAGGGTTGAAAGGCAAAATGTCAGCACTACTGGATTTCATCCATTATATCTGATGATCAGGGCATTTGGATGGGATAGAATTTAGAAGTATTTTTTTAATGATCAGGCTTGACATTGTTGGAAAAGTGGTCTTGGAAGGTGGTCCCCCTATATCATTCCTCACTCTGTTTAATGTGTATTATAAACTACACTAGGGAACTATCCAGGTTTTAAAGCTTTGATACTTCTACATTTTGGTGCTAACCCTTTCTATGCCTCTCTTTTTCATTCAAATAGATTCAACCATCTGATATAGATATCTGATATTCATAATGAAGTGGATGAGACCAAATGCATTTAAACTTCATCCACACAAGGAATAGATGGTTCTGGCAATCATTCTATGCTGGTTGGGATAATATGTGGGATGCACATTTTTAAAAAGATGATTAGATGAAGAGTAATAAAGGGGAGTCCACTATGCTTCCAGTTGTCACCCTCTCCTTAGCCCACACCTTTAACAAACCAGGTAAGGAGATTAAGGCTAGCCCATCTGCCTTGCTATATTTGACAGTGATTGGATGGAAGCCAAGTCAGCTTTCTTCAGATTCTTTTCTGCCACGTCCAGTTGTCAACTACACACTGCTGGATAGCTCTAAAGGAAGTCAGAGTGAGTGACAAAAGAGCCACTAATGCTGCAGTGGCTGTTGTGGCAGGTACAAGAAACAGAGCCATTAGAGTCTCTGGCAGCTTCCATGTTGATTGCTCCTGGGTGCTCTCTTCCTTTTTTGTGCCCCTGAAGGAAAAGGGAAGGGAGAAATGATGGCTGCTGAAAGAGACTGAAAATTCTTTGCTGCACTTTAATGCCCTTCATCCAGAGCTTTGCACCCTAGCTAATAGATCTAAAGGTGATTGCAAGGGGTTGTCTGAGGGAGGGGTCTTGAATATGCATGGCTGTATTCTGAAGCGGAGGGAGACAGATCCTTTCTGGATCTAGAAGTGAGAATACTGTGATGCGATGCTGGTCAATGAACATTCAGCTCAGGTCTGCTGCTACTAAGGCCCCCTCCACTGAGGAACCTCATCTGAAAGGCCTCCCTCAGGTCCAAGGGAGCTCTGTTTAAACACCTAATAGAGCAGACAATTAGCCTTGCTTCAAATTCATCATTTTGTGTCTCAGTTACATCCCTTCAGGCTGCAGACACAGACTGGATAATAGATCCAAATACTGATGATATAAATGAGACAGAGACGGAGACAGAGATGGATAATTATAGAGACAGTGAAGGAGATGGATAAAGTTGGAGACAGTGACTGAGACAGAATTATGCAGATGGAGGCAAAGGTGAACAGACATAGAAACAAAGGTCTAAATAATTTCAAAATGTATTGGGGATAGATTAGCTCCAAGACAAATCAAGAGGACTTTTTAAAAAACAACAACAACAAAAGAGCATGACCTATATTACAGTTAATGCAACATGTGGTTATACCAAGGAAGGAAGAGAAAGATGTAAGAGAGAACGCTGTTTTTCTAATAAATCCATATTCAGTTAATTTGCTAAAATATATCTTATGGACTTAACATCAGTCATGATCAGGAGCTGCTTCTCCCACAAATGACTAAAAAACTTTAGGCATGAGGGAAGGAAAATAAAAGCAGTCCAGAAATATTCAAACATCAGTTTCATCTTTAACTCTGCCCTTGATTTCAGTGTCACTAATATTAACATATTTTGTTATTTATTGCCAACATAAAGAGAAATGCCTCACACATTTTTTTCAACTTACAAAGGGAGAAGACAGTAGCACTAACTAGTCTCTGTCCTGACTCCTTGCATCCATTTATACAACCTGATTATCTTCAGAGAAGGACCTTTGAAACCAACATTTAAAATCTCCTTGTGATCTGGAATCCTGTGCGTTCCCCTCCAAAGGATACAGGATTAAGTTAGCTTAATCATGGGGTTTTTTGGCACATCCTAACTTCCCACACATGCTGATTTGAATACACAATATGTTTTTTTCTGGATACTAGAAGAGTCTATCCTCAAATCACATGACCATTTCAAATGGAACTGGTATGGTTATCGATCCAAAAGCAAACAAGATAATACAATATACACTACTTACTTTTTGTAGCTGTCACATTAAGCTTTCCCACTGTATGAACAAAAGAATAATTTTTAAAAAGTTAAACCAAGGAATGCAAACAATGAATTACCAGGGATGAAAAAGAACAGCATGTTTGCAGAAGCTCCAGCAAAAATGTGATTGAGAGTATTACAAAGCAGATACTTTCTTAAAAACTATAAACCCTATAGTCTTTTTGCATATTAGTTCCATAAATATAAGCACCATCCATGTGCTATGGTAGAAAAGAGATTTACAAAGAGATATGAAAACAAAATTGATTCTGCCTGTATGCCAATATTGCGAAATCCACAGTGCAATGAAATATCTGTTAAATTGTTCAGCCATGAGTAGTTTCTTTTATATTAAAAATACATACCATTTTTCTTTACACTTCACAGCCATGAACCAACTCAAATTTATCATTCCAATCCAGCACAAATATATCAATAGGTCAGATACATTCTTTGTACACAAAGGGTCTACCCAAGTGTAAACATTTCTAAGGAGCAGAAACTTTGTTGCATTTGGTTTCATACATATTTACTAGAAAGGTCTAGACCAGGGATGTCAAACTCATGTGGTCACAACAGCAGCATCGGGACTTTCCCCCCTTCGCTAAATCAGGCATGAGTGTGGCCAGCACTTGACGCATCCGATCCATGGGCTGGGAGTTTGACAGCCCTGATCAAGACAGTAACAACTGTTCTGAAAATGCCAGAAAAATGGAATTAAGGCTTTTACTTTCACCTCCAACAGGTATGCATTACTATTAGACACTAGCAGCCTTCCTTCTCCTATGCCTTTGGAACTGCAACTCCCTGAATTTCCTGGGAAAAGGTGAGTTCTTTTGGGGGGTGTATGCTTAAAACCCTCAAGGTGCAAATATGTGCACTAAGATCATGCAACATATACATATATCTGGAAACCAGGACAACTGTCAGAAGAAAAAATGATCACAAAAAAAAAATGTGACAATGTTTATGCATAAAAAATATCTGATGTTTAGTGGGAGGCACTTGTTTCTTCCTAAATTAAGTATCAGATAAGAATCCTTGTTGATTATGAAGTAATAAGTGTTATAAATATTCCTACTAGCATCATTCTGGTCATAAATTCATTCCATTCCATAAATTCATTTTAAGTCCCATATGAGCAAACTAAGAAATTGTACAAAGTGAACTTAATAATGAAAGTTGAAAAGCAACTGGCAAACATAAACTATGACACTAAGGGAGAATAATATAAAGCATTCAATGGGAACATGGAGTAGAAAATGTGTGGGGCTATTAGTGCATGCTCTTTCAAAAGTAAATAAATTGATTTGGACAATAATTTTATATAATCCCACTCACTTAGTTCTACTATGTATTATATGACTCTCAGCATAGATTTTGCATTTCCCAAGTTACAACAAAGTTGCAAATTAGGCTGAAGAAGCAAAGATCACTTGCAGGTAGCCAGGAATGGATTTATACCTTAAATAAATTAAGTAATTGTGTTTCTTAAAAGGTCATTCTGGGGATGAACATGGGGTCAGAGATTTCCCCATTAAAATTTCTTAATTCTAAGTATGCAGAAGCCAACTAAGTATGCAGAAGGAAGTTCCCAGAAGCCAACTTTGCATGTAATCCCAGATTGTGGATCTGGATCGAAATAGATCTGCCCAACAAAAAAGCTTTCCTATCCATAGCCTGATAAACACAAAATATATACAATATTTCACAATAGAAATGAGTAAACAGAGCCTGCACATTCACATTACCATGACATATGACCTCATATCCAGACTTGCCATTTCCAGTTCAGAATGCACGATCTTATCTGAAACAAAGAACTATTACCAAGGTTTTCCTCAAATGTTACTTTCTTCAAACTATGTTTTACTTTCCATAACCCCATATTAATGGAGCAAGGTCCTAGAAAATTCCTAAATCAAAAAGATCTCTTTCTAAAGTTAAAAAAAATAACTTTGAAAAGTCAGTGAAGGAGAGAAAGATTGTAAGATGTGATGAGAAAAATAAGAAGCTTTCATGTAAGCCTCAAAAGGTCAGGAATATTGCTCTAAAATGGTCTTCAATGACTTCTACTTCATCTTATGTCTTCCACCTGTGATGTCAAGTGTTTTTAAGAGATGGAAGAAGGCAAGGAGCAGCAGCACTGGATTTATGCCAAGTGTCCTTCAAAGAAGATTAGAGTGCAACAACTGCCTGTTGATCTGCCTGTGATGAGAATTTCTAAATATAGCAAAGCACTTGAGTTAGATGGCATAGTGCTACACAACTGAGACTCTCTGAAGATACACCTTACCAAGCTCTGTATTTTCACACTTTTAAGTTGCAAGATAATACAGGGAGTAAGTAAGTGACATTAGTGCTGATTCAGAAACAGCTTGCTGCCCATCCATCATCAGCAAAAGGAGGAGGTAAGAAACAGGGGCCAAAAGACTGGTGGTAAAGAGGAATATATAGAAGCAAAAAGAATAAGGAGGTAGCTTCCTTCAAGTTGGAGCCTAAGTGCATTTGGTGCTTCTCATCAAACTGTATAAGAACGGTTATGGAAACACGCTTTTGTGAAAGACATGTGACGGTAGCTTAATTTCCCTTAAAATATTGCCTTCAGATTTAAAAGTATAATATGGAAGTTTTCCCCTCCAAAGTTAATTGGCAATATAAAACAGATTAAGCTTGAGTTAGATCTCTATTTCATATCTATACCAGTCCCAACTAATACTGCATTATTGAGAGAAAGTTCAGCATGAAATAATTTTAAAATTAATGCTAGATTTCATTTTGGCTAGATCAATTCTATTTATACTATTTAAGGGTATATTCTCTTTCAGCCTTCCTCATCTTGTGGTGTCTAGGAATATTGTGAGTGGTGCTTCCATAATTCCTAACCAGCATGGCTATTTCATTTCATTTTATGAAACAGTTAATATATTGGCTATTCTCAGTTTCTAAGTATTCAAAGTATTAATATTCATTGAAATCAGCTGAGAATAGAAATGATATTCCTGGTATATTAGAACTTCTCTGAAGCCTGCTGTGCCTCTGAGCTCATCTCATCTGACAGGGTCTCTTCAAACATTCCTTTTTTGTTTTAATGAGTGTTTCGCTTAGGTTCTATTCTTCTCTTCAGCATTGCCTAGCTGTGCCATCCTGACGTAATCAGGCAGTTTACAAGGGTCAGGGAAATGTAAATAAGATCAACCTGAGATTCTGGGAATAGCTATTTTTTAATTCTGGATCCCATCTGTTCAACTTGTCTCAAGAATTCTAAGCCAGAAATAGGTACTGCAATCACTACAGTATAAATTAATCTAATGTTTTTAAACACCTTGTCTGTTATTTTGATTGGATATAGCCAAACCCTTTGGGACTACGAAAGCTAAGGTATAATGATGCCTTTCCCAGAATGATAGGTCATTCTGGGAAACAGCATAGCTTCACTAAGGGTCTGAAAACTTCTATTCTGCTATTTATTGCCTTTCCAGCCTATAATTTATTTACTGTTGGAATGGAATAATAGATAGCTGAGCCAGATTTAATATTCTTGCACTCAAATGATGTGAATCTGTGGTGGATCTTCTGAGAGCATTCAACTTTGCTATCTAGAGGAGGAGCTTAAAATCTTCTTTCACGGGTCAGAATACTTAAAGTCATTTAAAGTATGGTAACCCATTAAGGAAGGTAGTAGGTAGCAGAAAACAGACTGCCTTCAGATTTAAAAGTATAATATGGAAGTTTGACCCTCCAAAGTTAATTGGCAGTGAATTCCAAATGCAAAATGAAATAAAAATGCCAAGGATGAAGTGGAAATGCTTGGCAGCAGCTACCTATGCTTTTATTTGTATACCAGGCATTTTATTTTAATTGTGAACCTGTTGGTGACCAAATCAGCAACATGGCTTATGGATAAGCTTCATTGGCTCAAATGAAATCATACCCAAAAAACAATCCCCAGAAGATTTATTTATTTATATTTTATGTTTCTATACAGCCCATATTCCACAAGAGAGATTTGCTTTATATGCCTTTTCTTTTTCAATTGGTGGACATTGTCCTTCTATAGATTTCAACAGTAAATTTCAGAGACTTCTACATGTAATCTACTTGACTTTCCATAGTCCCACAACTGAACCAAAATCTGATTCATTTTCACCTTGATAAAGATTCCAGGCCACGTTTTCTGAGTAATGAAGGTTTATTTATCCTAAAAAGTGTAACTAAATATGCTGGCCCTATCTCTGGGCCCATGTTAGAGATTAACATGCTTCTGTATTTCAACCTAAAGGAGTGGCTAAGCATCTAGGTTTTTCATTACTTTTCCATATTTTTTTATAATGAACTAGCATTATAGTAAGAAGAAAAACTATAAATTACTAGCTCCCTGAGAGAAATAGAAATTGATGAGTAAATGGGCAATTCATCAGTTATCCCCAAGCTACTCTGAAAAGGAATCAGAGACAACCTAAATTAATTAAACGTAGAATCATTCTTACAAGCCACAATAGACATGCCATCATATTTTATGAATGATTGGAAGAAAATTGCCACAAGCTGGGGGGAAAAACATGGAAGTAGCAAAGAAAATACTGGAACAGACTGATTTGGAGCCAGCATCGTATGGAAATTCAGTATAAAAAAAGAAATAAAAAATAGCAATTTCAGGGAAATGGAACCAAAAGTGATGTTTCTCATACTAGGGGCATGATTAATTTTGTAGGGACTAGCAATGCATGGATAATCATGCAAAAAGATTAATCAGTCTGGGAAAAATATTTAATGAATTATTTTTTCCCTGATAATATATAACCTAAATTACAGAACTCTGAATTAGTTTTACATAGAAACCATTCTACATTAGTTTCAATACTGAGTCATATTGTGCAACCTTCTTGGAATGTCTGTGCTTTTCTCACTTTTATAGATACCATTGTCAGGGTCAGACATCAAATAGGGTAAAGGTATGCTTTTTCCTGTTCTGGACTCAGGCTTGGTATAGAACTGCTTCAAAATGTGAAGGCTTCGTATTGATTTCTGCTTGTTTCTCTCTATATTAAAAATCACACTGACTCTTGGATCCCTATTCTAAATTGTCACTTGCTTGCAAGCCACTTGTAATAGCTTCACAGAAATGAGTTGTGTAAAACTGTGTAAATAAGTCGAAAGAGAAAACAGTACTGTGTTAACATTAGGAGTAAGAGCACAAATCAGAGATATACTGGGATAGTTCTATATCTAGATTCTAATGTGGATGCAGTTGACTAGACTTAACCTATAATTTTATATGTCAGTTTAACACACTCTTTTATTACTCTCACAGTGGAAAAACAATTACCCTTTTAAATCTTTATCTAGTTAAACTTTGCACGTAGCTTTTCATATACAAAGTGTTGCATCGATTATTTATTTATTTATTTATTTATTTTTGTCAATTGCTTACAAGATAATAGGTATAAGTAAAACAGTTATGAATATATGGATACACATATAAGAAAAATAAAAAAAGAAAAGAAACAATAGGACAGGGATGGTAGGCACGTTGGTGCGCTTATGCACGCCCCCTACAGACCTCTTAGGAAAGGGGTGAGGTCAATAGTAGACAGTCCAAGGTTAAAGATTTTGGGGTTTGGGGAAGAAACCACCGAGTCAGGTAGAGTATTCCAGACACTGACCACTCTGTTGCTGAAGTCGTATTTCTTGCAATCAAGTTTGGTGCAATTAACCTTGAGTTTGTATCTATTGTTTGCTCTTGTGTTGTTATGGTTGAAGCTGAAGTATTCATTGACAGGTAGGACATTGCAATGTATGATTTTATACACTATACTTAGATCGGACCGAAGGCGGCGTAGTTCTAGGTTTTCTAGTTCTAGAATTTTGAGTCTGGTGGCATAAGGTATTCTGCAATGAGTAGAGGAGTGGAGAACTCTTCTTGTGAAATATTTCTGGACTTTCTCTACTGTGTTAATATTAGATACGTAATGTGGATTCCATACTGATGAGTTGTATTCAAGTATTGGTCTGGCAAATGTTTTGTATGCTCTAGTTATTAGTGTAATATTACCAGAGAAAAAGCTACATAAGATTAGATTAACAACTTTTAACACCTTTTTGGCTACGTAGTTACAGTGGGCTGTAGCACTTAGATCATTAGAGATGAGTACTCCAAGATCCTTGTCAGAGTTTGGATCATCAACAAGGTCTATTCAGCCTGTATTTTATTTTCTGATTTTTTTTTGCCAATATGTAGGACAGAGCATTTATTTGTTGAGATTTGAAGTTGCCATTTGTTTGACCATTCAGATACATAGTCAAGGTCTTTTTGAAGGGTAGCAGTATTGTCTGTGGTATGGAATAGCTTTACATCATCAGCGAAGAGAACACAGTTGTTCTTGATATCATCACAGAGGTCATTTATGTAGATTATGAAAAGAGTTGGTTCTAGAACACTGCCTTGGGGGACACCACTGTTGACAGGTACAGAATTTGATAGGATGCTCCCAATTTTGACCATTTGTTGTCTGTTTGACAGGAATGCTTCTATCCAGTTATGCAGGTGTCCAGAGATACCATAAGATTTTAGTTTTAGGAGTAGTTTGTCGTGTACCACTGAATCAAAGGTTTTACAGAAGTCTATGTATATTGTATCTATTGCTTTGCCCTGATTGAGTTCTATAGTCCATATGTTGTTGCAGTGTAAAAGCTTCAGATTACATGATAGTTTTTTCCTGAAACCAAATTGTTTATTAGAGAGTAGGTTGTTTGTTTCTAAGTGGCGGATGATGGATTGGTTAATAATTGATTCCATGACTTTACAGGTGAAGCAGCATAAAGAGATTGGTCTGTAATTTTCAACTAGGCTGGAGTCTCCCTTTTTGAAGATGGGGATGACCGTGGCTTGTGACCACAGTTTTGGCAAGGAGCTGGTCCTGAAAGATTTTTCAAAGACTATGCTTAGAGGTTCGGCTATGGCAGTGGATAGCTTTTTAAAGAAGTAGGCGCATATTCTGTCCGGGTCAATAGATAGAGATGGTTTTAGATTGCACAGTGCTTTTTCAACATTGTCTTCTGTAAAATCGATATATCATTGAAGTTGTCTGTGATTCGACTAGGAAATACTGGGCATGATTCATTGCTGTTTACAAATACTGAGCCAAAGAATATGTTAAAGAGGTTGGCTTTAATCGTCATTGCAGTCTTTACCATTAGGTCCTTTCAGGGGTGGGATGGACCTTGAGTCTTTTAGTTTGTTGTTTACAAAATTGTAGAAAGCACAGGTGGACTTGGTGCATAGAAGGTTTTCTTCTTGTTTAATGTTTACATATGACACTAAATTTATCTTCAGTTTACAGAATTAATATTTACATATGACACTAAATTTATCTTCGGTTTACAGAATTAATATTTATTTCTTTGATTTATATACTCTCCTATTTCACTTTTATATGCTTACAATAAATATATAAAATACAGAATATAATAAAACAAACATTTAAAAAATCACATAGCAGCCAGGCATAATCTAACATAATCATCCACACAACCAAGAGATGGGCTCTAACCCATTTGCACATATTCGCACATATAAGCCTCCTGGATCTAACTAGCCAACATTCCCTAGTTGATAGTATTCAGAGCGTGCCCTTTCTTGCCAGATCAGACAGGACAAGTGGAAACAATTTAGGTTTTTATACTTCATAAATAATGTCAAGGGACGTATCAAGATTTCTCCTGCATCTTTCTGAAATTTAGATCACTGCCTGACCACTATGCCCAGGACTTTACAAAAGCATGCCTTTTATTATTATTTTTTCCTTTCCTTCTTTCCTTGAATAAATTTGGGATATTGGGATTATTGAAGAAAAATGATTACATATATTGTAGCACCACCAGTATGAAATATATACACAGCCAATCTCATAATGGTGACAATTCCTTTAAGAATCAGCAAAAGCAATATGTAACTCATAATTCTGAAAATTAGGAACTAAATCATTTAAAGTTTAAAACACTAATTACAAATTAACACAATGAATATTTACCATTATGACAAATAAGGTGGCGCAACAGCCACTTAATTCTTAAGTTTGTTTGTTTTGTTTTGGTGAGCTGAAGAGATGCATCCATCAAAACCAGACAGCAATATGTCCTGCCTAACATGAGGAATTTGAGGTCTAAATTGTGAATTCAGCTCTACCTTCTATATTTATCTGAGAATATTTTACAGGAAATGGAAGTCAAACTATCATTTTAAGGTGCTTCAGTCTGATTAAGGTAAGCACTGATCTGCATCTTATTACCTTCTCATTCTACTTCCTACATGGTGGTTCTATTCTTACCCCATTCAATCATACTATGCTAGATCTCTAAATACCTCATGCTCATGGCTTCTTGGGTGACCAAGAAAAGCTTTGCTTGGAACTTTTTCAAGAGAAACTAATTGATTAATGTAGGACCTTCTTCTAGATATTCTTGAAAGAATGAGACATTTCAGCCTTTATCTAAGAGAAAGTATGTTCAGAGAAAAAAACTAGAAATGGAAATATACTTAGAGAAAGAATTAAACAGTTGTACTACTGGGCATATGAAATGTTTCATTCAGTGATTAAAACATAAGACTAGAAACTGGAAGAACATGATTTACTCAATATGAAGCCAACTGGACCTGCATGACAGCTGGGCCAGCCACTATCACTCAGTCTTTGAAAGAACCATTTCTGAAAAATCTTGCCAAGGAAAATGCAGGGACTAATCTAGTCCCCAGAAAACAATGCTGAGTCAGGCACAAAAACAACTATCACCACCATTCTACCCCTGCTTGGGTTATAGTAGTTTTTCTAGGAGCATATTTTCCATTGTTACTTATTTATTTATTTCTTGCAGAAACAAAGTGGAGACATTGTCAAAGGATGTTGTAATACAAAGACCTTTACAATTTCTTGCCCAGCTTTACAAAATTATTACGATATGCTTATCTTGCCGAACTTTCCCAGGGTAGTCTGCTATACATATGACAATGGAAGGAACAAGGAGGCAACGTTTTTCTCTCTCCTTTAACTCACTAGGTTTGTCAGTAGAACAAGAAAACTGCAGGAAAAGATAAACATTTATTTCCCATCTATTCTAAAAGTGGGAGGTCTTGTAAATTATATTAGTGGACTAAAACCTGAATCCTTACATTTCATCAAATTTAGAAGCAATCCTGAATTCCAGTGAGCAAAACTGTTTCAATTTTAGTTTAGCTTAGATCCAGTTGTTATGACTTTATCTGAGAAAGACTTCTTAGATAAGAAAGATGAGTCAGATGACCTCACTAAACTCTCTGGATCACATGACCCAGATTGTAGTACAAGACTCTGACCATAATCTATCTCCACTAACCCAGAACACATTGACCAAGACTCTGTCACATATTTACCAGCACAGTCCATGTAAATGTCAAGTATGTCAAGTCAAATGTCAGAAAATAAAGATCTATCAGTGTGCAAATATACAAGAGAAGGTCTTGAAAATAAAAGTACATTTAGGAATTGCTCAATATCTGTAGAGCTTAAGGCAGATCAAACCTGAAGCCAACTGAGTAAGGACCATGTAACGATAACTTTTAATACATTCGTTGTTTGAGAGCAGTTTATTATTGGAAGCAATAGCTTGCTTGTAAAGCCCAGGGAGTAGATTCCCTTGCATTTGAATCCTGATTAACCTCCCTGAAATCCACATATTTGCAGGCTAATTTTCATTCTTGTCTTTGTTTTCTGGAATCTCAGCATGGATTTGGAATATTCTGGCTTTGGTTTTTGAACTCACAGCAACTTATTGTGTATTGTTTTGATCCTGAGCAATATTTTGGATTTAGACTCTGTATGGTATAGTTAAGCTTTCCTTTATCTCCATCCCCAGCCCTGACCCAACATAGGATATTGATATCAATTTGAATAATAGTATCTACTTTGGTCAAGATACTGAATATTTTTTTATAGAAGTTAATTGAACTTACCTTCAGCAGCTGGGAGAAGAGCTGTGATTGCCGAGGTCTGTTCCAAAAATAGGGGAGGATACGAGCCTGAACACAAGAGAGGCATGGAAGGCTATTAATTATAATAATATGCAAAACAGTACATAATATATAATGAAGTACACTTGGAGACCACTTTAAGAAAAACAGTCCCTCAGCAGAAAGGAGTTTCTCCTGAATTGCCTGTGTATATTACTAAGTACCTCCTAGAAATTAAAGAGGGCGGAACAAATAAAACCCCTTGATTTGAAGTTCTAGATGAGTGAGTGTGAAATCAAAAAAGTGAAAAATGCTGAATTATTTGCTGATCACTTTGTATTCAGGGTTAAAAAACATCAATCTATATAATCAAGCATCCCACATTTATAGCTCTTGATTGTTGGAGGAGGAAGGCCTGAAAGCCCTTTTACGTCTGTTGTAATAAAAAGGACTTTTCTAATTCATAAATGTCTACCGAGTTGAGGAGACACAAACTCTTTAACAGATGCTTTACTTTGTGTAGCATATTATCAAGCCTTTGTAGATATGTCCGCATGAGTGCAGCTGCAGAGAAACATGAGCAGATGACGTACTTTTCAGTGAAAGAGATTATCATTTTGTGAAGAAAGGGAAGAAGTAGAATTACTACTCTCCACATTTTGGGTAGAATACACAGGCAAAAGACCTCTGCATTTTGCACAAGTGACCACAGCCCCAGATGACCCATTCTAGAAGGTGGCTTAGCATAGGCAACATCACTGGAGTCATAACCAAAGCTAAAGGGAATTGTTTCTCCAGAATCAAGGGTGAATTCATGTTTAATTTGGTTAGGAAAACCTTTTGTCCGCTCTAGTAGAGTAACTCTGGCCAAAATGTTTTTCCTTTCTCATTACATGTGGGATATGTTGGCAATAAATGTCCTCTCTGAACACGCTAGTTTCTCTTTTAAACCCTCTACTTTCCACCTTCACTCTAATAAAATATATATAATAAAATGCTTTGGTGTAAGGTATTTCTTCTACTGATACTTTCCATACATCTTGAAAACAGGCATCAACTCACAAAAATGATTAGTAATATAAATCAGGATTACGACAGCCAAAGCTTTGAAGTATTGAGATAATACAGTCAAATGCATTCATAAAAATGTATGCCTGCCATATTAGGTTATTTTATTACACATCGGCATAGAAAATTTTACCTTGACAAATTTGCAATTTATTTATACTGACAAACATGCAGCAATATAATTTTCCTCTTCTACATTTCAACTTCGAACACCTATTCAGCCCGTATGTCCATTCTCAAGTGAGAATTTAAAATCTCAGGTTTTAAGGGAGATATAAGTTATGAAATATATAATGCAATTTCTGGCTGAACGTGGATGAGGTCATTCTGGTACAGTTTCACTCTGAAAGGAATGTCAACATGCTTCAATTTGACAAGGCTTTGAACCAAGCAGTCCCTTGAAACTGCTTAGTGAAGCCTGCCTGGTCTGCTCCCTTTCAAGAGCTAAATGATGTGGCTATGTGGCTTTGCTTCAGTGACTCCCTTGGTTTTTTCCTCACAGAGCTTGCAGTATAAAAGAAGCCTGACAGGAACTTCTTCAGTGAGCACTGTGGGAGAAAGCTGAGATATACATTCTCCATATTGCATCTAACCGGAATCACACCCTGCACAGCACCAGGTTGGTCTGCGCAGAATCCATGAAAGGATGACTAAATCAAAGAGCCCTTAACCATGGGAGGGGAGTCAACCCACAACTAGTTTGAAGTCTCCTCTTCCGTATAAGAGGACTTCAAAGCTGTCTGGTTTCAATTCAGGAGAAGAGCAACACAAAAAGATTCCCAAACTAGGAGTGGCTGTTCTAGATTGTAAAAAAAAATAATCCTGAAGCCCATCCTCTAGATAGCCAGCACCAAACTTTCTTCTTCCAGAATGAGATGGATTTCAGAGGTTCAGAGCAGGGGTGGGATGCTATCGGTTCTGCCCGGCTCAGTAGAACCGGTAGCTCTGAAGAGCAGCAGACACTGAACTGGTTCTGTGTTTGCTGCTATTTGGCCCGGTTGCCTGCCCGGGCTCTTACCTGTCCTTTATTTCCTGATTTTTCAACCTCAGATGCTTTGCGTGGCACAGCTGAGGTTGAAAAAGCAGGAAAAAAAAGAGGCTTTTCAAACGCTGTGCACCTGCGCACTGCGCTTTTCAGCTCTCCGGGTGGCACAGCTTAAGGTTTTGTTACACATGCACAAAACATAGTCACTGAACCAGTAGTAACCCTGGTTGAATCCCACCCCTGGTTCAGAGGTTCCAGCCTGTTCCATAGAATTGAGTAATAGTAACATAGGTAGTTTTGAGTATTTGGACCAGGTATCCAACTTCTACAACATAATAGAATTCTTTATTGGCCAAGTGTGATTACACAGGGAATTTGTCTTGGGGCAAATGCTCTCAGTGTACATAAAAAAAAGATATATTCATTAAGAGTCAAGAATCATAAGGTACAACATTTAATAATAGTCATAGGGTAGAATAAGCAATCAAATCATACTAGGAAACAGTCAATATAAATTGTAAGGATACAAGCAACAAAGTTACAGTCATATAGTCACAAGTGGGAGGGGATGGGTGATAAGGAGTGATGATAAGATTAATAGTGATAGCAGTGCAGACTTTGTAAATAGTTGGACAGTATTGAGGGAATTATTTGTTTAGCAGAGTGATGGCATTCAGGAAAAAATTGTCCTTGTGTCTAGTTGTTCTGGTATGCTCTATAGCAGGGGTCGCCAACCTTTTGGACTTCAGGGACCACCAAACTCATAATTTTAAATCCCAGGGACCATTAACTGGTTCTGTGGGTGTGTCCTAATTTGTGGTGTGGCTTGGTGGTCATGTGACTGGCTGGGCATGGCTTGTATGTAAATATTATAAATATTTATAAAAATATTGAATTTTTTATAGAAAAAGAGCAACTTTTACCCAAAATCAGGCAAAGCTGTGAGATTGGGTTGCTCACAGAATCACAGATTCATTCAGAGATCGATCTATCTGCCATTGGCTAGCTCAGTCTGTCACATAAAATTTGCTAGCAAGCAAACTCACAAAATTAACTCACAATACACCATGTAGGTAAATGTTGATTTTTTTATAAAAAAGTGCAACTTTTACCCAAAATCAGGCAAACCAGGCAGACAGATTCAGTAACTCACAGAATTCAGCGATCTATTTATTTGCCATCGGCTAGCTCAATCTCTCAAATTTGCTTGCCGTGAGTCTGCACTGAATAATAGAAACTTCAGTCCTAAGGGAGGTTTGGCTGTGCTTAAAAGCAGAGCCGAAGATCTAAAGACTAGCTAGAAAGCAAGAAATCCAACCATTTCCTGCTTCCTAGCTAATCTAAATCTCCTGGCAGAGCAGAACAGATGATGGTCGGAAAAAGGAAAAATAGCAATTTAGCAGGCAAGTTTGCGGGGTAAGGAGTGAGTGGGCGGGGAAGGTTCCCGCGGGCCTTGTGTTTCTGCACAGCCTGGATTAATTGCTTTGGGGGGGGGTGCTCTGGGGGTGAGATTTCTCTGCGGCCCACTAAAATTTTCTCACAGCCCACCAGTTGGCGACTGCTGCTCTATAGCATCATTTGGAAGGTAGGAGTTGAAACAGTTTATGTCCAGGATGTGAGGAGTCTGTAAATATTTTCTATTGGACTTAAGTGATGATGCCACAGACACCCCACAGCCAGAAACCTATCTTGCCTATTTTTTCTCTCCCTCCAATATTTGATTTGGGGACAAATAAGAATTAAGGGTCTAAGTAGTTCTCTAAAATATCCTACAGGAAATCAGAACTAACAACATTGGAGATACTTAAATAGGTTTGGGAGAAAAGGGATTATAAACACATTTTGAGTAAAATACTCAAAAAGAACTCTGGATTTTCCACAAGCGGAGGTTGATATTGCCAGTGGATACAGAACTTAATGAGGAGAATAAAATTTTTGAAGGAAAGATGAGAAGTTTAGTCTTCAGCACACAGTTTAAGAAAGCAATGGAAATCTCAAGGAGCCAAACACGGGATAGAAGAATAGCTAGATGTGAAGATGTATGAGTTAGCAAACCACGAAGACAAGAAAAACCAATAAGGACAAGAAGACAAAGGAAATGCCCAAGGTTAACCTAAACCAATCTTCAAAATGAATTAAGAAAGGGAAAAGATACAGAAAGTTAATGCCTGGTAGAAGTCAAATAAAAGACCTTGTTACCACTATTTGCTATTATAATAGAACTAATTCATGCTTGCAAATACTTTCCTGAGAGTGATTTGAGAATGAGTGTGTACAATAAATACACATAACATTATAGAAATAGGGCAGCTTTTGCTACCATGAAAAACAGCAGGAAAAAAATATTTATTAATTAGTCTGTTTTATTAGGAAATGGGGCATTAGTGTCATTGCAAATAACTATCTCATTGTAAAAAAATACTTGGACATATTAATTAATTCTCTGTGTGAGAGAACTTTCATTGTAAAAGCAAAACGGCTAACAACCTCAAGGGTTGTGTAAATTCAAATAATAATCCAACAGTCTGGCAAAACTTCCAAGTCCAGTTTTTCACTCAACTATATATTTCTTATTAGTTTGTAGGGAACCTTGAGGAATGGAGCAATAAATGACAATATATGCATTACACAAATGCTGTGAATTACATACTTCTATCAGCTAACAGGATACAGTGGAAATCTTTGTGTAATAAAATCACTGGCACCATCTTGGTTTGCTGTGAACACTGCTGGCTTAAAAGTAGACTTCTCATTAATAACGAGATCCTATTATTACAGCTATCTTCAGAACCAGGGGATTAGATACAATTCCAATTGCAATAGAGTGCTACACACAGTTTGTAATCAAAATGCTTAATGAAAATATTCTTGCTGATATCTTGCACACTACAGGATACCATGAGGTCAGTTTGTCCTGTGGGGAGGCTATAATACGTCTAGTGAGCAATAATAAGCATCAGTGCAATTAATCATTTACATGGTTATAAAATCTAATAGATTAGCTATTCACCGGAGA